TCTTACTATTTGCAGTGATAAAATTTATATACTATCAAACATAATTCGTGTCTGATCTAAACCAGAAACATCTTAGACACCGTGTGTGGACACACTGACTGCTTTACCGCGCGCAGGCGGACAACTGACAGCTAGCAGTGTTACCAAATGCAAAATATTATACAATTCAAAACTGTTGGATATTGTTTCCAACATGCTGGGGGCCTTAACTCACAGCAAATATAATAAATGAATCATTTCATGAAATGCATATCAATTACAAAAGTCGTATTTATGACTACGAAAGTCGTTTTTATGACTACGAAAGTCATTATTATGACTACGCAAGTCATTTTTTATGACTACGAAAGTCGTTTTTATGATTACGAAAGTCATTATTATGACTATGAAAGTCATTTTTTATGACTACGAAAGTCTTATAAATCTGAAATGTTGTAATACATTGTGACTAATGAAGTCTGGTGACCACGAAGGTCTGATGAATTTTTAAAGTTTATAATGAATTATTGATCATTAAAATCATTGCACGGTAAGACGGCAATTTTTGTGACTGATCGTAAGTAAGTTCCATTTTGAGTCCTTACGACCTGAACCACTCTCACTTTGGCATCCTTTCCAGGGATAAACCTTTTCAATCCTAGCTATCGGCCATTTTAATGAAGGAGTATTATCTTCTTTCAATAGTATCAACATGCCCTCTTTTAAATTTGGACACTCATGCTTCTATTTGGGTCTACTTTGCAATTGCGCTAAATAGTCTTTGTGCCACCTTTGCTAAAAATGCTGTTGAACTTGTGAGCACTGTTTCCGAAATTTAATACGGTTTTCAGATATTTTTGTAAGATCAGGTTCAGGAAAACTTGTTATAGGAGCACCTATCAAGAAATTACCTGTAGTCAAAAATCAAAAAACTGAAATCCGTGGGATCTTTTGACATTTGAGTTATAGGGCGGGAATTCAAGATCCCTTCAACTTGAACAATGATCGTGTTGAATTCTTCATAAGTGAATTGACGGATTCCCATAACTCTTTTAATGTGGTACTTGGCAGTCTTCACGCCTGCCTCCCATAAGCCACCAAATACTGGGGAGTAACTAGGAATAAAATTGAATTTAATTTCTTCGTCTAATGAGAAATTAACAACCTCATTGCGATTTTCAAGTAAAGTCGTTGAGTTGATTGTTGGCACCTTTTAAATGTGGAACCATTATCTCAATAAACCTGTGAAGGTTTTCCTCTTTTGAAAATAAACCTTTTGAAGGCGGCTAAAAAATTTTAAGTTGTCATATCTGAAAGTAATTCCATATGGATGGCTTTTACTGAAAAACACACAAATAAACTAGATATGCTTTTGTAACAATTGATTTGCGAATTCTGGATTGTTTTGTATGAAAGGGACCACAAAAATCTATGCCCACATTCTGAAATGGTTTGGAAGCACATACTTTGTTTTCGGGTAGTGAGCCCATGAGCTGCTGAAAGCATCGCGCTTTGTGCTTAAAACAAGTAACACACTTGTGGATATTTCTTTCGATTTCCCTAATACCGTTAATTAACCAGTAATTTGAATTCAAACTACTCAACACTTGACGTTGACCTGTATGTAATAGACGTAGATGTTCCCTGTTGATGATCAAATCCGTAACTTGATTGTTTTTTGGCAATATTATGGGATGCTTTTGATTGAAGGAAACTTTTGAAATGTGCAACCTACTACCTCCTACTCGTAAGATTCCATCATTATCTACAAATGGCGATAAGGAACATAAGTTACCTTTTATAGGTCTTTTATTCTCAAGATCCCTCAATTCTGCATGAAAACTATATTTCTGTTCTTGTTTTATGATAAGCTTCAATGTCCTTTCTAATTCATTTTTATGTTTTGAATTGTGGATGAACCTCATCATATAAGCAACAACTCTTTGAAGCCTAGAAATATTTGAAAATTTCTCAGCAAGTGAGAATTTTTCTACTACAAGGTGGGTAACTTTCAGATTCTTTCCCAGTAAACCAAAATATGTGTCTGAAACATTTCTGAAACCGATCATTTTCCATTTGAAACGTTTCAATTTTTGACTCAGACACGTTCCTGAAACATTGCAGAAACCAGAAATGGCCTAGGTATGAAACGTTTCACACGAAAAATGTTTCATGTGAAACGTTTCTGATACATGACGTAACTGCATGTGAATACATCAAAACACATATCTGAAACATTGCTGAAACCAATAATTCTACGTGTCATCTGACACGTTTCTGAAACATGGTAGATACAAAACATATCCTATTCTAATTATAGATATTTTATTCGTGAAATGGATGTGAGAAGGTATAGGCAAGGCAAAAAAAAACGGGTGGTATTTTATGTTTTATTGAAAATCATCAACAAATTATTATTTGTTTCCTTCCCTCTTGAACCGAAGGGCTGCTTGTCTGAGCCACGTGGAAGTATATTTCTCGAAATCGCTATCCGTCAATCTTGAGAATCGTTTTCGGGCCGAATCTACAAATTAAGTTACATTCTATTAATTTATTTAATTTACACTGGTATTGGTAGGCTGGATGGTGACAGATGCGCTGCGACCTAATTAGATCTATTGTGCCCCATCTGGTTCTGCTATATCAAGGTTTTCTCGTTCATAGCAGCCCCTCCAGATTAAATTCCTTCAGGAATTTCAGAATTTTGAGGGGATCTAATAGTGGTATTTCTTCAACAGTTGATAAGCATACAGTAGATTTGATGTGATGCTTAGACTGTGATTATGTGAATGAAATATGTCATAATCTGAGCATCACATCACGTTTATTGACTGATTAACTCTGTTGATTGGCTTTCAAGCAACTGGCATTCAGTATAATAACATAATTATATCAGTTTGAGAACTGCATCAAGAATCTTATCTATATACTTATAAGAGAATTTCAAGAAGAATACATGTTTTCCATACTGACCTAATGTTAACTGAAATCTCACATTGACAAAGTGTCAATATGAAATCTATTATTGTCACTAGTGTCAATTTGATTTGGCATCAAAAATGTCAACAAAAAGTCACCAAATTGATATAAAATTATACTAGGGCTGTACTTTTTTACATATTTCTGATTTAAGTGAACTATTCTGAATTTCATCATTCTAGATTGACATAATTTATATGCAATATGGATTCACCTCTCAAAGTTGATAATATTTGTAAGTGTTTGAGTGGATAGTTTTCCTTTCTGCCATACCATGAACATTTTGTGGCCAATTTATTGGAGAATATCCTTATTAGTCCTCTCTTAATCATTTCATTGGGACAGTCCCCTGCACCAATGTAGAACAGAGTTTCCTGGAATGATATTCATGTACTGCGGATTTTTCAGAAAGCTCATAAAACATACCAACTGCTTTTTTGCATCTTCTGAATTTTTCAGGATCTCATCGAATTTTTCCAATTTTTTGTATTTTGTGAAAGCATCATGGGGAATTGTGTCAAATGCTGTGATGGGCTCAGATGCTTGAGATGGAATAATTTTTTTTCAAATTCATGGTGTGTTCATTCAGTAGCATCCTCAGAGCAACCACATGCTCATTCAGCCTCCTCACATGGACACAACAACAATCTGAAATATTCGAATATTCAGGTAACCAAATTGATAGATCAACTCCTCCAGAAAAAGCACTATTTGAGGATGGCATGAGTAATTTTGACAGGGATGAACAGGATGCATCATTTTTATCGAGATAAAAATAAATGCCTGTTCCTTAATATCAATCAGACTTGATCTAGTAAGCGCTCATCTATTCAATTTGTTAGGTTGTTTGGTATTGTTGAAACAATCATGAAAATAACAATAGTGGATGGAGCTACTGGAGCTAATTAATGATAAGGAACATGTGCAAATGCTCCGGATGAAATCGGGGAAAAGTTAACTTGACATATTCGATTTTCAATAGATTGGAGATCCTTCTGAGAAAAATCGATAGATGGCGTGCCGTTTAGCTTGCAAATACCTATAGTTAAAATGCCGTCTCATGAATTGAAATTCTGATTGAAATTTATAATGACAATTATTCATGGCCTAGAAAATGATAGAATTCATGAAAACACAAACGACTACAAAACCTCCATCTACAGGTGTATTATGAAAGTATGGCCAATCTTGAAATCCATCCACACATTTTGGAGGAAAACAATAATTGAAGAGTAGAAACACCAGTATTATTTACATCATTGTTGATTGATACAAATAGGTGCTAATGGAAAGATCAATTTCATATATTGTCGTTGATTTATCTTGCCTAAAAAACACTCGAACTTTTTTCAATTGGAATAATTTCCTTACTAACTCAATATTTTTCCATCAGTAATAATTTTCTTAGGAATAGAATTTTTTCCAAAAAAAAGCTCGTGTTTTTCCTGTTGAAAAAATGATATTTCACTCACCTGGTTCATTATTATTAACTAAGTTGGGTTTTTCTGTCTCTGCTGTTCTTCTGGGTATTTTAGTTGTTAATGGAGAAGGCATTATGATTTTATCCATTTCCTCAATTTCCTCATTGAAAGATACTGCAAATAATTAAAATCCCTAAATTTTTGTAAATGATATATTCCTTTGAAAAAACGAATTTATTTTTCATTTTCATCAAGACATAGCAAGTGGACTGGCGGTTTCGATCTAGTTAGATCTCTTCAGTACTGCATAATGTGTTGATGAAAATGAAAAATTCGTTGAGTATTTATTCTCTCATTTAAATGGAGAGTGCATATAATGATACTAACGCACCATCTGTGGACAAATCTTAGATTTAAATAGCCCGTAATTTCGATTCCCGAATCTGGGAAAGCTACCAATCAGAAGATTATCATTTTAGAATCAAGAAGATGAACATTTTTATGATTTGATATAAACCTTAATAACAGTTTCTATTGGAGAAATAGCTCTGAAGCACAAAATTTACATAACAAATATTCCACTCACCTGTGCTTGATGTACTTGTAGTTTCAATTCCATTTTCACTTGAATCTTCTTTTTTCAGAGCTTTCATCAACCAAAATACAAGAATTCTGAGTTTTGGATACATCAGTCATTAGTGGAATCTTTGGTAGAGGTGGTAAATTATATGTTTCTTCTTCTGATGAATTTCCAGACACAAAATCTTGATTCTTGGGAATCTTTCGTTTCCTCGATGTTTTGGATTGCTCTGTAGTGTCAGAAGATTCTTCCTCACTACAAGTCTTTTCAAAACATTTCGCTTTTGCATAATCATCTGAAACATGAATAATTTCCTGTTAAATTCAATCATTGAAAAATAATTGGTTATTTTATAGCCACAATGAAAATTTCAACTCAGAAAGTCTATTTTTTCTTCATGAAATGAACTCAGATTGTTATCACTTTTGATCTACTATTTTTGTTGCTTAGCGTATTTTTTCTGCCTCAAGTGAATTGAGACATTTTTTTTTCATTTGAAGAAAAAAGCATTTCAATTAATACCTAATCTCTGGTAGAAGTCAATGGTTTCTCAAAATGGAGCCAAATGTTTGCGAACAAATTGTGGAGACGACTTTGAGTTTTTGTCTACTTGTCATTCCAATTAATATTTAATTCTGAACATACTGAAAAATAATTAATATATCACCTGTTTCTTGAAGAATTTTCACCGAAAATATTTGCCAGTCCTCTTCAGCATCGGAAGCATTCTGTATTTTTTGTCTTATCTTCTTTGTTGGCCAAAAACATTCAAGTGTATTATACTCATCTGTTTGGCATTTTAACCATTTTGATGATATTGTAGACACTGATGAGTATTTCAAAAACTGGACAACGACCCACTTTCAAAACAGAAAAAATTACATGAACTTTTTATATCTGATAACATTATTTATTATTTATGATGATGGCAAAATATTTGTCGTCCCACATGCCAAATTCAAGGTCAAAAATATCCATTTACTGAAAATACTATACTATATACTGAACTCAACTACTGGTAGGATACTCAGTAGGAGGTAGGATAAAACTGAAAATATTTTTTCTGTAAAATAAGAACATTATTATAATTCGTCCATCCAATGTCATAAATGTGAATGTGCAAATTCTTGCCAAAGCAAAATAATGGATGTGGTCTTTTTTAAAATAGGAATTTACAACTCAAACAATAACCAAAACTAATTATATGGTAGCATTCTGAACAAAAGGGGTTATTTTTAGTGTTCATCCAAACATCTCAATCAAAGTTTTCTCAAAATTGCAAATTTTCACATTTATGATTTTAGTATTGGAGGGATGATTATTTTAGTGTGAATTGAAATATTATGAATGTGAAATTTATGTGGTTTCTTTGTGCAGAAGGGGGATAACAACAAATAAAGAAGGACTAATAGGATATCTAAGACATTTCTGTTTGATTCTATTGACTGGTAATATGGTATTATCATTAGCAAGATTTTTCACCACATAAATATTGAAAAACTCTACAGAAGAACAAGGCTCGTTATAAAATTCCTCAGTGATCAAAAATAATTTTCCTTGTACAAAAATATCTCTGGTTAGCTATTTTCACAGATGCCATTTATTAATAATATTGAATTGTCATCTAAAATAACACAGCTATCTCGGTTATTCAGTACAGTCGTCCAATGATAGATTACGCCCATCTGATATTCTTAAACTGCAAAGCAGGCATCAGGAAAAATCTGCAAGTAGCCGAAACATCTGCAATCAGAAAAATAACAAAAATTCGCCACCCCAACAACCCACTACACAATCCACCTAACCCACTGCTCTACGAAATGACTGGCATAAAACCTATTGAGACACGCCTACACGAACTAGCCCACCCAGTCAGCACAAGTACGTCCTATGGACGTTTTTAAAACGTCCACTCTGGACGTTCAAGACGTCCCGAGGACGTCCATTTCAGGACGACGGACGTCTTATGGACGTTTTGGGGACGTCCATTGTTACTAATCAGGACATACGAACATACTAGAAAACATTTTAATGGCATATATGTACAAGTTCATTATACTTTTCTAATTATACATTGTACTCAAAATTTTTTTGATCTGCAATTTTCGCGCTCTCTAGCTCGTTTGATCCAGGACTGCAAGGAATTCTCGGTTTCTTTTCGACTCTGCGCTTTGTTGGCTTTTTCTGCTGCATCTATAAATAATTTCATGAATATTTTTTGTGTTGTATACATCTTCTGTGCTGTTTGTGTAAAATTTATATTATTATTGAATTCTTATCTCTTGAAAGTATATTAAATAAATAATATGAACAAAGTGTCATGGATATTGAATTCCTTTCACATCAAAATTGAAAAAAAAAGTGCATTCTGCATACCGGGTGTCCCAATTTTGCATGTTCTAATGAAATTCCACATTGATTTTGAAGAATTGGGATCTGATGGTTATACTTACGCCCATGAACCTTTTGAATTTGAATAACAATCTAATCAATTCACCTCCAGTATTTACAATTGACTTGAATTTAATAATAATAATAAATCATGATTGAAATAATATCAATAACAACAAGGTACGATTCATGATCTATTTTGAGGTATCATTGCAGATAATTTATGGGAGACTGAAACCTTTGGCACGATAATACACTACACTGTTTTACCACTAACCAAACCGATTTTTCAAATGCCTCAACAGAGTTTTGATTTTCTCCTGAAGATGCTAACATAGTTAGCAAAACACAAGTTGAGGCGTTTAAAAAATCGGTTTGGTTAGTGGTAAAACAGTGTAGTGTATTGCAAATATTTCCACAACCCTCAGCAATTATATACCTACCATTTATTACAATTTAAAATGATGATTTCTCTTTATAATTTCAAATTTTACTCCATTGGAGAGGAATTTTCATGTAGAATTGAGTAATTATGGAACTATTATTTAACCGGAAGTGACGTCAGATTATTATCAAGTTGAATTGATCATCCATGGGTGTATACTAAATCTATATACTTGGTGAATGCACATGAAAACTCACTCACCCAGGACAAGTCTGGGCATATTCAATTTATTGAAGGGCTTTTTGCCTTTTCGACCCATCCAACTGAATTTGCTTCCCTCTTCATTTCTGATCAAGGATGTCATCACACGTTTTACGAAATTGTAATTGGTGGATCCCCCCAGTTTTGCCAATTCATTCACCTTAATAAAGATATAATGTTGGGAAAAATGATGAACCAAAAATGAAAAAACTTACAGCTGCATCAAAATTTTTTCCTTCCTTCAATACAGTCTCGAATTTTTCCAAGTCCTCTTCACTGTTCAGAGGAAAATCCAAATTGAAATCTTTATATATGGACACTCCTTGGGATTTTTGATAGTCATGTATCTCTCCCATGGCATTCATTTTTGACAAAAGATCTGTTGTGATACTGCGTATCAGATGATTTTGTTCTATAATTACTTCCAATTTGGACTCTGAAAAACAAACATCTTGATATGTTTGAAGTATTTGCATTTATTCATCCTCTCAAAACCAAAATGGAGTGAGAAACTTAATTATCAATAGAAGTGCATGGAAGCATACATCAGTGTCAGTGTTGTCAGTGATTTGAAACAGCCAACATCATTACCTACTTTTTTTTCAATATTTATAGTTATGCAATGATACATACTCTCAATAGAATTTTCATATGATCATTTGACTGGGAATTGAAAAAAATGCCATAGTAGTGAAAGGTTGTGTCAATGAATCATTCTGATTAGCTCAAAATTATTGGTCAACCAAACATTGAATCCATCTGTGTATAATTACAATGAAATGTATTTCAAGAAAGCAATAATGTTTATTACTCAATATTTTGCCCCAGATTGAGAGAAATGCCTTTGAAATCAGAGCTCAAAATGAATGAAATACTAACCATTGTCCTTGCATCCCTGACAACAAAATTTGGAAATAGTTTGTGTTGTGCCATTTTCTTGAAGATCAACATATGGATGGAAAATACTTTCTTCTGAAAGAGGACAGGAAAATTTTTTTTCCTGAATTGGTGAGATGAAAACCGGGACTTCATTTTCCTGGTCTTCTAAAACAATCATCTTAATTTATGTATGATTTACCTAGATGGAATATGAAAAAGTCTTTCTGAAGACATTTTGAGTAAGGTTGAAGAATGCAAAATGAATATTCCAATACTTTTATAGAGTTATATTTTGTAGTTTATGATTGTGAGAATTGATTAAAATTATGTTTCACTCCCAACACAATGATAGTTCAAAAAAATCATCTTAGACTCAATAGTTTGGAAATCTGATAAAACAGAAATGATATTTGCTCACCATTACCAGACACATCCGCCTTTTTGAATGTATCTGCAATATAAAAAACACAATGAAGTCTCATAAAATTCCTCTTAGAATCAATAGTTGTGAAATCTGATTAAAACCACAAATAGGAATGATATTTGCTTACCATTACCAGACCCATCCACTTTTATCACTGTACCAGCAGAATAACATTGTTTAAATTTTGGAGGAGAAGGAAGAAGTGATTCTTCAGAACTGCCACTAGAGGATAGGACCTTCTGGATCCTCTTCCTTTTATAATTGCCTTCCCTTTCAGATGCCAGGTCACTGGTTTCTTCATCTGTTTTGGCTTTATTGCGTGCTCTCATATAATCATCTGAAATTGAATCATGTTAAAGTACAATATAGAAGAGTTTACTTCACTGTGATGTATTTATACAAAACATATATATAAATATTTGGTGCAAGACTGTAGTAGTCTTCCATCTCTGAAGTTACAAATCTCAAGTACTCAGACAGACAAAACATTCCCAGTGGAAACATATACATACTTTAAGCTTTAAGTTAAATTCTAGTTAGGTTGTTTGGACCAGTACCACATTTAGAAATAACGTATTTTCCTGTGGTTGATAAAATGATACCCAAAAACTAAAATTGGGTGATTCTTAGATGAAAAGTTCATATAGAATATGATTTGAAAATGCATAGTTTTCAAAAGATACACACTACAAACAATACTGCTAACTACACTGCCAACTTTTAACAAAAATGAGCAAAGGATTCCTACAATATTAACAAAAAAATATTTTTCAAATAAAGTCTGATATCCTTGCAATCCATGCATGCATATCCAGACCAACATTCATGTGAACTTTCTGTAGCAGAATCACCCAAAAAAGCACCCCTTGAAGTTTTGAAAAATATTTGAATAACACCCTGTATATACCGGGTGTGACACGATCGTACACCCCTTCATTTCCTGCACCTTTTTTTGAGTCCAATGATACCCCCTCACCCAATGTCAGTGTCAATTTTGATTACCACTATCATTCAAAATACTTGGAACGGTGCATAGCAACAAACTTTTTCTGCCTAGACAGAGAAAGTACACCTTTGCTGCCTGTTAAGTGTCATATTTTATGCAGATTGGAGAAAAAATTAATTCGAACAATGCTTCTGTAGAAAGGATCTCAACTCACCAAATGTTGCATTTTTGAACACTTTTACTTTATGAGTTGGCCAGCAGGTATTTAGGGGTTCAATTTTTCTGATTGCCATCATTAATTTAGGTGGAGCCAAGGATGGCCAGTGGCAAAGGTCCCCCTGTATCCATACTGTTGGAACTGCCTCCACCGTATCATCTTGGAACTGAACAACAGTCCATGTTCCATCCATCTTCAGTCATTTTTCTATGGAAAAAAATAAGAAACAAGATAACTATCTTATTTTATACAGCATGAAATAAAAGGTCTAACAAAATATCCATCAGGGATAAAATTGAGAATTTATGTATTCTTCAGTTAAAAAAAAAAAGAAATAAATAACATAAATAAAACTGCCTGAATTCACCTGAAAACTTCCTGCAGTGAAAATTGGAGATTCATAATGGTTACATCACTACTCTCTCCTGAGAACCACTGGGTGTGGGCTGTTTTTTAGGTGTAAAATCAGACCAAGAAATGAGTTTGAATGATTCAAATAAAATTTATAGAAATATGATGAAATAAATTATATTTTCTCCAAATGACATTGAAAGTAATTTTTTTATAACACTTAACAGGTAGAACAGGAGTACTTTCCCTGCCTAGGCAGAGAAAGAAATGCCTACACAGAAAAGTTTGTTCCTATGCAACGTTTCAAGTAATAATTTGATTCAAATTGGTAATCAACATTGACAATGACATTGGGTGAACACAAAATTATGGATTATTCGAACTCTGCATGAAACTGGAATGAATTTGGAGAAATAATTATGTTTCACATTGACATGGCAGAAATGAAGATTCAATGCATTGGCTATGAAACCAGCCTAGGCAGAGAGAATACACCTTTTCTCCCTGATTAGTGGCTTTTTAATGCCACTTTCAATGTCAGATATTGAAAAAAATATTTTTTTTAATTCATATAAAATTTGGAAGTTCAATCCATTGTATGAATCAATGGAAAAATAATGAAATTGTTTTCATATTCAAGTTTTACACATTTATGATGAATATCACTAACATTAAATATTTCCATTTGTCCAAAATCTGATTTAGCAATAAATATTCCCAACTCTGATGATTTACAAGGTTGGTCATAAAAATCTCCAAGTGTTGAAAATTTATTACCAATTATTTTATATTGATTTTGATCTAGTACTATATTCTTCATTTCAATGAAATCTCCATTTTTGAGTGAACAACAGTTATCTGGGCCAACAGTTTGCAAAACAAAATTTTCAAAGTTCATCTTTTTATACTGATTAATGAAATTAAAATTCAATGTGGGCCCTTCTGTATGATTGGATGAGAAAACTGGATAGTCTTTTTGAATAAGTATTGGATTTCTATGAGCTAACTGATTTTTCTCACTCATTCATTTTATTATTTGAGATAGAGGTTTATCACTCTTTCTGATATATTTCAATATGGTCTGCAAAAAGTTCTCAAAGGAAAAGCACTGAAATCATCAAGGGTCCCATGATGTTTCACATCATTTGCAAGATGCATCGAGTTATGTATATTGTGTGACATGTTTTCTTGTCCATAGAGAATTTTGAATGTTTCAACAAAGTATTGGGGAAGGGAGTGAGCATAATCAACAGAATCTTGATACTTCGGATTTGAAAGAAATGTTGATGCTACATGTAATGTCATGAAATTTAGATATCTGTCTTTGTTCAACTGATTTTTCAGTGCAACAGGACCAGTGTAAAATAAAAACTGGCGAAATTCTGTGGCCTTCCATCTTTTTACTTCTGTCAAACTCCTAGGTTTTCTGTTGAATTCTACTGGCGTGCATTTAGCAAATTGTATCAATGAATCTGATATATTAGTAACAATTCTGAAAGAAATTTTAGTGGAAGGTTTTCCACAGCACCATAAAGACATCAATAATTTTTTAACAACGCCAAGACAGATTAAGTGCATGTAGTCCAAGGGCAAGCCATCAACCATATCAAAATTTGGAATGTGTTTAAGGAGTGATGTACCATTATGATGTTCAGCTTGTACCTTTGATCGAAACCCACTGTCAGTTCTCAGAGAGAGATTTTTGGTTTCAGGAAAACATACCCTACCATCAGAATAATTGCCTTCAATATGACACTTAGTGCAAGAAAAATATCCTGTATGTCCTTTTGTATAAGTAATGTATGATTTGGCTGGGGCATCACAAATGAATGATTTAATTGTAACTGCATAGAACTTGTCATCAATAATTATACCATTGGTGATTACATCAGAAGCATCATTCACAAATTCTTCCAAAAAACAATTTGCTTCCTTTGGTTTTTCATAGCCATGATAAATCCCTATCATATCAACAACTTTCTCTTCTGATAATCTACATAAAATGGGATACACTTGACTACTAGAACTTTTGGATAAAGGCAATCCATCAATATTTATAATAAGTTGTAGTGTCCTTGTATCTCCTGAATAATGGGATGATTGAACAAGAAGATTTTTAATACAGGTTCTAATTCCAAAATGATGATATTGACCAGGATCAATACTTTTGATTTCAACATTCCTACAGGTTCCCAAAAGAGTTCTGGCATCTGTTGGAACCCCAGGAATTACTTCTTTTGTGATGCTCAGTAACTCGTTGATAGCCGTGTGAGATATATTATGTTTTACAGCCCACTGGGCTAACTTATATACAAGACTTACAGTTTGGTTTTCAGGTGAATTATTACTGGGAGTATCACTGTCATTATTGTGGAGATGAAGATTCAAAATTGAAGTTTTATTAGTAATATTAGGAAAAATATTTGGACAGTCATGAGACTCTTGAGTATTTAACTGGGAGATTTCTATTTCGGACAAGAATGGAATGCAGACATCTTCATTATCAGAGGAATTTGATGATGAATCAGATTCGTTAGGAAATGAAAAAAACACATTTTCAACTTCTTCATCATGAAGAGTTGTAGCAGCAGTAGAAGTAGAAGGCAGTTGATATGGCAAAGAACTTGATAGCCGTTTAGCTCGCATATAATGTTTTTTTAAGTTAGGTCCACTCATCCTACTGTAGTGGGTTGAAGTTGAACAGTAGTAAAAAATTGAATAGCTACCAAACTATATTATATATCCTATTTACGATATAATATAACATTACTTGCCTGTATATAGTCTATTATCACAGTAGAGAGCGTGCTATTATGTCTCTGCTTTGCTCTCACTTGCTTTATTCACATCACATTCACAACACCAATTTGGAGAATAGTTTCGATGCTTATGACGGAAATCGATCAGTCCACAATAATGTTCAGAAGTAAGTAGAACTCCCTGTTCTCTATTTCTAGGTGGATGATATATGATGAAAATGATATTACTTCAATATCACTTTTGTTTCTTTTTAGGTATTAATAATCTTGAATATTACTAGACGCCATCTTCTAGATCTGGACATAACAGAGGGGAGAGGGCAGAGGGAGATAAGTGACGCGCTCACGTGGTTCACGCATACGTAGAACGCAAAAGCAGGAATTTGACGGTTTTTGCAAGCATTTTAATAGACCAATCAGAACAATTTGGCAATGGCGGTAAATTCGAATGAAATGAGCTTTTTCATGTTACGACCTTCTGATTGGTCTATGCGCATTGTAAAACGGATGATTGATGAGAGAAGTGGAATATTTGAATACTTCTTGTTCCTTCTCGAGAAAATCTGAATCAATGTTCTACATTTTACAACAACATTTCATTGTACAGGCTGAAACACAATAAGGTGACGACTTCATCCGAAATTTTCCCAAATGTAACACACATCCAAGATATATATTTTTTGACATTTTCAAACCAATAAAAATGAGCAGATTCCGAAAAATACTTGGGGGTCACAATAATTACCATGTGTCCGATGACGTCATTACCTTGATGCCTATCATCCTTCGTCATGTAATGAAATTTTGTTGTAAATTGAAATCACAAAAGTGTCTCATAATTTTTTCGAAGGTTTTCAGTTTAGGCACCGTAAATTGGAAGTATTTAAGACGTCGGATTGTGAACGTTCCAAGGACGTCCACGAATGGACGTCCCAGAAACGTCCAGAAAAGGTCCTGGACGTTCAGACCAGAAATGGACGTTAAATGGACGTCCTCTGGACGTCTTGTGCTATCTGGGCAGAGATTCTGTCGAAAACACACCAACATGGAGATACTACAAGAATTCTGTATAAGAAGAAATCCAGAAGTACAGGCCATATACAAGCATCCAGAAGAACCGCTCATTGAAATACTTCTCCGATTGGATCAACAATTTTAACATAACAAAAATGACTTTTTTCTTTCACAATCAACAGTAATTTTTTAAAAAGTCAAGCAGGAATGATTATATTTTATTAGTATAAACTTAAAGGCTGAAGGACCTAGGTCGATAGCCGGTAGAATTTAATAGTAATGATTGTACTTATATGTTATATCATATGTATTCAATTCAATAAAGAACGATTATTATCATTATTCAGTACAATTTGAAAATTATCTAGTATTAGAGTTTTGTAGCAAAGTATGTGATCATCAGGATTACTCATTTCAACATTTTTAGCTATTTCATATTTCAGTTGAGGATATGAATACTCAGGGGTAAAATGTTGATCCTGATTCTCCGCTAATCTATTCAAGAGCTGCTGAAGTGGATATCTAGAAAACTTGATAGTTTTCTTCAGTTTATAAAGATAATTTTCGAATTTAAAAGCACTAAAGTTATCAACAATACCCCAAGATTTGCAATCATTTGCAAGATGAATCAGATTGTGAATGTTATGAGAAACATATTCCCTACCATAAATTGTACTGAAATTTTGAACAAAATAAATCATCAAATTATTGGCAAAATCATTATGAACAATGTGTAAGTCTGGAGCACATAAAATTCTCATAGCACAATGTAAAGTCATAAAATGCGAATATTTTGTTTTAGATAGAGTATTTTTGAATATAATAGGTCCTAAGTATAGTAAAATCATACGGAATTCTGTTGCCTTGAATCTGTCAACCTCTCTCAAGTCCCTTGGTAACCGAGCACCCAGAATTTTAACAATTTTTTCATCACCCCTAAGCAAACTAAATGCATGTAATCAAACGGTACCTGAGAGACAAGTCCTATATTTAATGATTCCAAAGGGGAAACAACATTTTGTTTGTGAAAAGATTCATCAGATTTTTGTCTGAACATCTCGTCAGTTCTCAAAGGAGCATCTAATCTATTGAAACACATTCTGTTATTGAAAAAATCTCCTTCTACAATACATTTTGTGCAAGAACTGCTCCCTGTGTATCCCTTTATACATAACCTAAAAGATTTAGCAGGGGCATCACAAATTACTTTACTTATTTTCAAGAAAACTTTTTTGTCACCTATGTTGAAACCATCATTTTGCAAAATATAAAATTCCTCAATAAACAACCTAAGAAAATTTATAACACTATCAGGTTTTTTGAATCCATGATACACCCCAACTATGAATGGTCTACTCAATTGTGCATTGTTTGAATCTATGGATAACAAAATTGGCCAGAACTGACTGCTAGAAGATTTTGTGAGAGGTAACCCATCCACATTGAGGCTGATATTTAATATTTCATTATCTTCAACTCCACAAGAATCTGCACTATAAATTATTTTTATGCCCTCAGCAATTCGTAAATGAGAATAAAAGCCACTGTCCAGTGCTGTAATATTTTCACTTGAATGTCTAGGAGTTTTCAAGAGAGTTCTGGAATCAAGTGGAAAATTACTAAAACCTTCCATATTAAATATTTTCAGCAATTCTTTAATTGATTCAGTAGATAACAATTTCCTGTATTTGAGAATCCAACCTTTGATTTTATTGAAGAACCCTTCACTATTGAACTCGTTTAGTGTTGATTGTGCAGGGGCATCAACAGTAATGTCATTAGAAGGAACAGTGAAGTTGAAAGTGGGATATGGAATTGAAATACTCTCAGAAACATCACTATTATCATCATCTAATGTACTGAAACTTATTTCATACTTATCAGAAACTTCAGAATCATCATGAGAAATGGCTGATATTTCATGATTATCTTTTACAGTAGACTGTGTTAAATCATTTATCAATATTCTTTCTTTTTCAATCTGTAAGCGAACAACTCTCCTCAAATGTCTTTTTGTTTTAAAGATTCTTTGCCTATCCATATTTGTGTATCATCAGTCAAACAGCTGTAAATAAAAATGCAATTCATGAAAATGAGGATTAAAATAATTATATAGATTTGTAATTGTAAGTATGACAGTGAATAATCATCTATTATAATTCATCCATGCATTATGCTGGGTTTATAGATTCAAATAAACTATGAGAATTAAACTAACAACTAAGAACTTAGAATGTTCAATACCAGAGAACGCCAGGAACGCCTATCTATTCTATTATAGGGGTTTATTGTAACCTGACAGACCGTGGGCTGTTCTGATTATGTTTATTTGGCTGTGATCGTCAATAATTAATTGAGAATTGGTTAATTCATTTATGGCTAGGACACCCTATTTGTTGTACACCCAAGTTCTTTTCAAAGTTCGATACAATTGTAGCAAATAAAACACAGAAGGTAGGTAAAGGGATTTATTATCTTCAATAATTGCATAGTACCCAGTTCATAAATCATGTTGCCGACAGTTCGTCTACCCAGTGGCGCGGTCCCTTTAAAAGGGTAGGTACTCCCTATTACATACTAAATACCATATGTTTGTCTCGAGGGACCTATCTCACCACTCGTTCCTCAGACAGCCGGGCTCCTAACAAACTGATACGTCAGAACATACCGGAGATTGAGATCGCAGCGGCGCCACATCAGGCATTTTAATAGGATAACGGGTGGCCAATTTTGCCCCTCGCCGTAGCTCAGGTATCTTTTTCTTGAGGGCATCTTTTATCAACTGCTACTTTTTTGTTCATATATAGTCCCGCATGTCTGATGAAGTGTCGTACAATCAAAAACCCAGGATGGTATAACCTATCCACTATCAGTGCTAAACTTGTATTGTCTCACAGAATTGTCAAACTCAGTGTCTTTCCATCAGTTTTAACAGGGTTGCTGGTTCCGAGTAGGAGTGCTACACGGAAGTACAGCTTCGAAGGGGGAACTTCCAGAAAGACACTGCGGTCGAAATTCTATAACAATGACCAAGCTTGTGATGGGGAGTGATAAAACCAGGAGTGGCATGATAGTGTACCGTCAATAATCCGAACTTTCTGGCACCAGGGTATTTTATTCTGCGCCTGGATTGTTCAAGGTTGCTCTTCGCCGAAGCTCAGACATCTTTTTCTCTTTTGTTTAAAATAGCTGCTACTTTTTTACCAGTCTGCTCGGACATTGACGGGACAAATCATACTCTCCTTTCGTATCAGAACCCAGGTGCGTTTACAGACTCACAAAAACATATTCTCTTATTATGAGAAAGTTCCTCGATACCACATATAGTACGCGGTCAGGAAAAGAATGAATAGGGACTCCGCCACTGGTGGTTAAATATACATTTAGGGCCGATATACTCTTTGACATTCTTTCTACCTACAGCACTAAAGGGCTTGTTATCGATACCTCTACAGAGCAAACCGATTATATGGAAAAATACGAATGACAAGTTGCAAACCAAATTTCAATAATAGTACATTATCAAGCTAATAACAATAAAAATGGGAGAAATATATATTGTTTCGTGATATAAAGAAGAAACATAATTTTCGATTAAATCCCAGTTGACCAAAACATGCGGCAGCTTTATCCCTGCTGCATTTCAAATGTTCCATGTTTCATCACAGAGATGTTCCCATCAGAGATATAGCATAGATGAATGTCCGCCTCAAATGAAATCACAGACTTATATCAGTGATGCAACATCAGACTTGAAACAGATATGCTCCTGTGAGATCACAGTGATGACTATGTATCTACATAGCTCTCTCCATGAGCATGGCAGAGACGTTTCTGATAAATCTGTGCTCTGCATTAGCTCCATCTCAAATAATCCATAAATTTATACTGGTTCCACCAGTATTCGAATCAGTTTCGAATGCAACACCATGATGTTTAGGATATATTCTTGGATTTTCAAATGTTGAAATCAAAAAATCCATGATGATCGAATATACCCCTAAACACATGGAGTGGCATTCAAAACAGTGATGAAACAAAAGGAGTAAAAATGTAAACTTTATTCCAATCCAAAATGACAGATTACTAAACAAACCTCAAAATATATGTAAAACACATGTAAAATAAAAATATGAAATAGAATATACAGAGCGTTCCCAGTTATCATGATGATCACAGCATGGTTTTCTTCCATAACTCCTTCATTTATTTCCTTTTTACCTGCAGATTCCATCTCTTGGAAGTGATGCATAGAAAAGTTATCATTCATTTTCATGGGAGATCATTGTTTTGTTTTTACTGTTCTCTCCAATAACCATTATTCCATCAAAATCGAGATCAAAATCTTTAGTTGAGCTGACTACAACTAGAATAAATAATATTTCAGTTTAAATTAAAGTATACAAAACAAGTGTTCACCTGTCATTATTGTGAAAACTCTCAGATTGGCCTAACCAGCTTTGTCTTCGCTACACGGGAATCAAAACCTGGTCTCTCCAGTATATTTTTGTACCTAGTATGCTTTTGAAATCAAAATTGATGATTTTCCTCTCTTGAAGTCCAGCTGGAATAAAAATTCAATTTCAAACTACAAACTATAGTAGCATACCTATATTAATAATGAAAATATGACACAAAACACAGGATACATTTACAAATATTGTCACTAAAATTGCAGAGTTGAATTTCCTTGTTGGATACAAAGAATCACAAGTACTCAAAAAACTGAAAAATAGCCTCAAACCTAGCTAGAATAAAGAACCAAAACATTATCATCTATTTGCAGATATCTATTTCATGTGGTTAATGATTTATGAATGATTATTCAATGATTATAAATTTAATTGGTATACAATTGAAACGAATTCCACCTAGACATGTGGGTAGGCAAATCATATCTAAAACTTACTTACCTTGGAAGGTACTGACATCGTATAGAAGTATACGGTGGTACTGATGACTACATCAGCAGAGGGCTTCGAATCACACACGTCACACAAGTGGCTTACTTGGAATAAAATTCATTTCAATGTCCCAATGAAACAATAAATGAGTCATCTTGGTGATTTTGGTGAATGGCAGATCATTGTTGTTCTGGTCATTTAGTGAAATAACAAATACACTAGTTTTGTTTTGTGAACAACGAGGTATCCTTTTGTGCTGCTAATTTCGTTTCGTTACCGAATTTCTTGAAAATCCACGAAAAAGTGAGGTTAGGAAAGCCCAGTAAACACAAAGCACATTCTTCGTCTTCGTGATTGTTAAACCACATTAACCACAACCACAGTGAATTTCACGTACTCAAATGATCACTATTAAACCTACAATACAAGCAAGAATTATATTTTGGATGCAATTTGCATCAGTTCAATTTCAGAACGTTGTGGAATGTGATGCCACAAATTTCTTTAATTGATCTATATTGTGATGACGCCTGGGATGCCTCAATTTTATCACGTTGATAGAACGTGTGATATGAAACAAAGTTCTTTGATTGATCTCCTTTGTGATGACGCCTGAGATGCCTAAATTTTATCACGTTGATAGAACGTGTGATGAAACAAAGTTCTTCAATTGATCTGCTTTGTGATGACGCCTGGGATGCCTCAATTTTATCACGTTGATAAAACGTGTGATGAAACAAAGTTCTTTAATTGATCTCCTTTGTGATGACGCCTGAGATGCCTCAATTTTATCACGTTGATAGAACGTGTGATGAAACAAAGTTCTTTAATTGATCTCCTTTGTGATGACGCCTGAGATGCCTCAATTTTATCACGTTGATAGAACGTGTGATGAAACAAAGTTCTTTAATTGATCTCTTGTGTGATGACGCCTAGGGTGTCTCAATTTTATCACATTGATAGAACGTGTGATGAAACACTGATTTGTAGCAGTAGCATGTTATATTTTAGATGCAAGTTGCATATGTTTCAGAACGGTGTGATGAAACAAAGTTCTTTGACTGATCTCTCTTGTGATAGAGCTGAGACATGTGTGGTTAACTGGGATTGACCACAAATATGAATATGGAACAGTGAACTAACATTAAGAATGATACCTACTTATTTACCTATTGGCAAAGAGCAATACTATGTCAAATATATATATAATGTCTATCGAGAAATATTACAGAGTTGTAATTAGTAAGTCAATAAAACCATAATCAAAATGGACGATAATAATACAAGTATAAGAAAAACGACGAGAGAAATATACCCCTTTTTGTTATTGGCAAATTGATAAGTTTAACTCAACCCTTTGTGCATAATTAGGACATAAACATAGCTGAGGAGCACTTCCACTGGCAAATTCGGTACTTGGAGAGATATACATATAGAGGACATTTCGCTTTTCCCATAAATCACCCACATTTTTATGATATTTACCGTTTCCCTTTCAATATTCAGGTTACTCCCCTCGTGATGATAGTCATTATTCGTTAGGCAATGTTCTATAGTGGATGCCGGAGGCTTCCCTTCATTATTAGATCCCCATCATATATAAGAAACAAACAATACCGAATTCATCATTGGAAATTCCCCTCAATAGGAAGACAACAGTTAGATGATTTAATTTACAACAAGATGCTTACCTGTAATCACATTCACATGTACTTCTCCCCCAGACCCCACAACCTCTTCGCTTTCTTTATTACTGGCCTTGTTTTTAGGACGTGACATCATTCATAGATTTGAGGTAACTTACAAGGAATTGAAATGAATTTGACTGACTTGGATATCTGAGCTTGTACAAAATATTATAGAATTAATAATTTGAGCAATAACGTAAAACAGTTTATAGGCAGGTCCACTCACAGCTTACGCTGGTTGCCCACTACCTATCGCGAATTTTGTTAGTCGAGGAATCGAGTATAAAACTTTCCTCAGGTAGGTCCACCCTCAGCTCACGCTGGTTGCCCACTACCTATCGACAATTTAATTGTCCAGAAATCATATATGAAACGATTTCTTCGGTAGGTCCATCCGCAGCTCACGCTGGTTGCCCACTACCGATCAAATATTCGTTGGTCAAGAAAGCGTATATGAAACGATTTCTTAAGGTAGGTCCACTCACAGCTCACGCTGGATGCCCACTACCTTCGAGAATTTTTGTTAGTCAAGAAAACGTATATGAAACGATTTCTTAGGTAGGTCCACTCACAGCTCACGCTGGATGCCCACTACCTTCGCGAATTTTTGTTTGTCAAGAAAACGTGTATGAAACGATTTCTTAGGTAGGTCCACTCACAGCTCACGCTGGATGCCCACTACCTTCGCGAATTTTTGTTTGTCAAGAAAACGTGTATGAAACGATTTCTTAGGTAGGTCCACTCACAGCTCACGCTGGTTGCCCACTACCTTTGAGAATTTACGTTAGACGTGTACTGTACCAAAGCTCAGTAAAGAATAACCCCCTTTTCAGACACACGTCGCGGTTTTATAGTCCTTCGGTAAAGGATGAAGAATAGTAAATCACGTATGTGGGAGACTCTCCATACAATCCCCGCAACACGGTCTCACGATTCCCGAAGTTCCTTATCTTTATGGTTTTCGACGAATTTCGCTCTCAAGAGTCTATATCTTTTTGTTGTGTCATGTGTTACTTATCGCGAACTTAATTATATACAAATCCCAAACAAATTTTCGTTTCCCGTGAGAGACTTTGTGAAGTAATACGTTCGATTTTTAAAAAATATCATTCGTTTTGTGGATGAATTAGAACAAATTTAAGAAAAAGAATCTGCCAGGGGTCGTTCGATTTCACTCTCCCCCCCTCTGTGAACGCAATCGAATTTTTGAGTTAAAAAATTTTATTCGGCTTGCAAAGAGGAGTATATCTCTCTGGTCACAGGTCAAAATATCCCCACCTACAAAAATACCAAAACCCTGAACACAAAAAAATATATTGAGGAAAGAGATAATAATCAAGTATGAAACAAATTACTCTCCAAACATAAATTCTACATATAAAAATAAAACATACAATAATATAATAGGGTGAATATATACATAGCTACATAGTCATGAATTTGGCAACAAAAGCATACATTAGTCAATAGATCGGCACAATACACTTTATCCCGCATTATCTCCCTTCCCCAGTTTCCCGCACTAACACATACCTTGGGTTCACATCCTCACTCGCGTTGACCTTTCCTCCGTTTCTGGAGGAAACGCCGTTGGCACCTTGTGCGCCGAACACGCTTGCGGCGTACCTTCGCTGCGAGCAGTGTCACGGCTCCTTTGTTTTCGGTGGCCAGAACGGCCGTCCGTGGCTCTGTCGGGTTGGCTACCTGCCCTGTAGACACCGTCTGGGCACAGGTCTGGGGTAGTGGATGGAGTTCGGTGAGCGGCGTCTCAGCATCCCGGTGGCAAGTGGATTCGACTGGCCAAAACAATATTGGAAGGCTGGCCGGTAACAGCGGTCGGTACGGGTCGGGAACAGGCCGCGGGTCAATTAATTCGGCGGTGATGGTCCTCTCAAGCCTTGTCTGGTAGAGAAGGGATTCGAAAAACTCTTCCAAACCGGCACCGGGCGTCGGAGGTCTCGTGTCGGTATCTGACATTTTCTTCTACTCAACTGTTGGACCGTTGGAAACAAACTGACTCCAGTTGACGAAAGTCAGATCGCATATCTTCCTGGTTGCCCACTTGACTATCCTGGTGGAAGTCTGTCATCGGTTATGTATGGCAGTAAATTAGCAGTGTTAAATATGCCTCTAACCTTGCCCGTGTGTGTATCCACCAGGACATAGGCGTTCTCGTGGGGTTGAGAAGTGATGCGGTACGGGCCTTCGTATAGTAAGGAAAACTTACTAGCTACTCCTTCAGCGGCATTGGAATGCGTTTGGGTCTTGAGTAAGACATAGCTACCCAAGGAGAAGGTAGTCGTTTTCCTCCGCTGCTGTTTTTGTCTCTTCAGCGACATTTTCACGAGATGTCGTCGAACTATTTCCAGGATATCCGGCTCGACGTCTCGGGACAGTGGAAGGTATTTAGCGATGGCGGCATCGAGTTGGAGTTTGGGTCGTTGTCCTAGTACTATTTCCATCGGGCTATACCCAGTACTGGAATTCGGGGTGGAATTCAGGCACTCTTCAATATCCCGTGTATATATAGCCCAGGAACGATGTTTGTCGTGACAAAAAGTCCTGAACATCCGACCAATTTCCTTCATGTATCTTTCCGCTGGATTTGAACTGGCATGTCGAATAGAGGCAAATTTAACCTTGATGCCCGCCCCAGATAGTCGTTGTTTCCAAACCCTTGAAGGAAATTGTGTACCATGATCACTAAGTATTTGCTGTGGATTAAGTATAGGTACTAGGTCCAGCAATATCCGGTTAGCGGCGGAGACAGCATTGGCTTTCTTAACTGGGATCAGCTTCACATATTTCGAAAATACGTCTACAGCTAGCAGGATGTAGGTCAGACCACCTCGACTTCGAGGTAGTGGTCCATAATAGTCCACCGCTACTAATTCCCCAACTTTGGTAGCTAAGATGGGACGCAGTGGTCCCAACAGTGATCTATTTGGCTTCTTAGCCCGCTGACAAATGTCACAGGCGCGGATCTGTCGGTGTATCGTTCGATACATATTCTCCCAGTAGAAGTAGGCTTTGACGACAGGATATACCTTGGTAGTGGAAAAATGGCCCAATTCTTGATGATAGTGTGAAATGACCTTACTGCGCATGGATATTGGTATAGCTAACCTCTGGGACCTTTCGGAGCCATCGCTGTGAACTAAGGCTCCATTCAACAAGCGGAAGTTTTTGATTACTCGTTGAACATCAGGGTCGACGGGTGAAGTATCATCTCCAAGAGCTCTTATTATCTGCCCGAGGCGAGGGTCGGTCTTTTGGAGCTTTCGGAGTTGTCGAAGATCACTGAGTAATTCCGAAGTTCCCTCCACCCTGAAAGTAGCAACTACTGGGCATGGTAGTTCCTGGTCTGTGTCGGTGGCATCTGGCGGATAGCGGGACAGGACATCAGCGACGAGATTGGCCGTTCCACGGATATGTTGGATTTCAAAATCGAATTGTTGTAAATATAACACCCAACGAGTGATTCGTTCGCTTAAGAAACGACATTTTTTCAAGAACGTGAGTGCGCTATGGTCTGTACGAATGATGAAACGGGTACCAGTGAGGTACAGCCGAAATTTCTGAAGGGCGTAGACGATGGCCAATAGCTCCTTTTCAGTCGTGGTATAGTTCACTTCGGGGCCTCGCAAACTCCTGCTCTGGAATCCGATCACTCCTTTTCGTCCATCCTCACTGAGCTGATACAAAACCGCCCCTAATCCATAGTTGGAGCTGTCAGTTTCGAGTATGAAAACAGCCTCGTGGTTCGGGTGGATCAAAAGGACTTCCTTCAGAAACTGCTGTTTTATGGTCTGAAAGTGCCCTTCTTCCTGTTGCCCCCATTGCCAAGGGACCCCTTTCTTCAACAGGTATGATATTCACCTGGTATGGTCGCTATAATTTGGACAAAACTTCCGATAATAGTTACAAAGGCCTAGGAAGGCTCGAAGGTGTTTCACTTTTTTGGGTCTGGGAAAATTTTGAATGGCCTCCACCTTCTGAGGGTCTGGTTGGATTCCGGTGGACGTAAGAATGTGTCCCAAAAACTGAACTTCTTTCCTCACGAAACGACATTTCTCTAGGTTCAGGGTGATGTTAGCCGATTTCAGTTTCTCAAAAATAGACCTTAGATGTTCTAAATGCTCTTCATATGTCTCTGAAGCAATCAAGAGGTCATCGATATAATTCGATGTGAAGCTACGAACCTCCGGACCCAGTATTATATCCATAGCTCGTGAAAAACTAGCGACAGCAGTTTTTAGTCCAAAGGGTAGTACCTTGTAACAGTAACTCTTTCCGTTATACAAGAAAGCCGTATATTTGCGACTTTCAGGATCTAGGGGTATTTGCCAATATGATGATACCAAATCCAAGGAAGAGAGATATCTTTTACCATGAAATTTCTGCAAAACTTCATCAATGACAGGGGGGCTTTCATGGTCCGATATCATCTTGGAATTTAGACATCTGGCATCTAGGCAAATTCGAACCCCACCGCCTTTTTTCTTTACGACAGTCATTGGGCTCGAATATGGGGACGGCGCCTTTTCAATCACCTGCTGTGCTTCCATCTCCCGGAGTTTCTCTTCAACAACCGTCCTTAGTGAGAAGGGTACTGGGTAACTTCGGTGTACAAACGGAGCTTCATCCTGCATTTGGATTTTATGGCTATACAAATGTGTTAAACCAGGAGTAGTAGAGAATAAGGAAGAATAGTCAAGTAGAAGATCCCTTAGCCTACGCCCCTGTTCAGTACCGAGTGTGCTCTCCTTTATCGACGTCGTTATGAGGTCATTTTTGTCGACTACAGCTATGGGGACAGAGAATGATGTTGAATATCTCGACATCTTCGGTCTCGAGTTCGGTAGGGCCATCTGTTAGGAACGTCTCGAACGGTACCTGGAATTTATCTGAGGACGTCGCGTGTACAAAAAGGTTTTTATTATTGAAGTCAAGTTGACAATTGTTTTCTTGCATCCAATCGGCTCCCAGTATACATTGTTTGATTAGGCCACTAACTATCAAACAACATATGTCGAAGGGTCGGCCGGCGAGGAACATTCGGAGTTGCACTTGACGTGTAACTCTTTTGGTTTTCGTCCCCAAACGTTCCTTGTGACAAGACGGCTGGAAGCGGCAATGTGGTTACGAGACTCTGCTGTTTAATCTTCCGATATACAGGTCACCTCGTTCGCAGTGTCAAGGAGTGCGGTGACAGAGATATCTTGGATGATTACCGGAATTTCCGGGAGCAGTCTTCGAGTGAGCTCTGGTCGCTGGATAGTCGCGATCTCGACGGCCGGTACCCACTCGATTTGACCCACTCTTTGGGCGCGTGCGGGGTATTTTTCAGCGGCGTCGCATATGCCTTTGTGCGGGGGGTACCCACGTGCAGCTATGGGTTCGGTTATACCCTGGGAGTACCGTCCGAGTCCTTCGCCTGGTTTCCATCCTAGACTGTACAAAATTTGCCATCCGGAGTTATTTTTGCAGGGGCGAGCTTATGAGGACTCGAGAGTTCGCCAGGTTTTCTTGGTGCATGGCCACGAAACTCTTTCCCAAGTTCTGTAAGACCCGCTGGTTTTCCATCAGAGCGCTCGTGAGGATCTCGAGTTGAGAAGGCGGAACCGATGTCGGATTGTCTTTATTTGTTTGAACATCACCTGCAATCACATTCACGGCAGTGAAACTCTTAATTTGCAAGGTGTATTTATTTATTTGCTATCAATTGTATCGATTTAAAGACTTCAAATCCTGGTCACGGCACCAGTGTAACCTGACAGACCGTGGGCTGTTCTGATTATGTTTATTTGGCTGTGATCGTCAATAATTAATTGAGAATTGGTTAATTCATTTATGGCTAGGACACCCTATTTGTTGTACACCCAAGTTCTTTTCAAATTTCGATACAATTGTAGCAAATAAAACACAGAAGGTAGGTAAAGGGATTTATTATCTCCAATAATTGCATAGTACCCAGTTCATAAATCATGTTGCCGACAGTTCGTCTACCCAGTGGCGCGGTCCCTTTAAAAGGGTAGGTACTCCCTATTACATACTAAATACCATATGTTTGTCTCGAGGGACCTATCTCACCACTCGTTCCTCAGACAGCCGGGCTCCTAACAAACTGATACGTCAGAACATACCGGAGATTGAGATCGCAGCGGCGCCACATCAGACATTTTAATAGGATAACGGGTGGCCAATTTTGCCCCTCGCCGTAGCTCAGGTATCTTTTTCTCGAGGGCATCTTTTATCAACTGCTACTTTTTTGTTCATATATAGTCCCGCATGTCTGATGAAGTGTCGTACAATCAAAAACCCAGGATGGTATAACCTATCCACTATCAGTGCTAAACTTGTATTGTCTCACAGAATTGTCAAACTCAGTGTCTTTCCATCAGTTTTAACAGGGTTGCTGGTTCCGAGTAGGAGTGCTACACGGAAGTACAGCTTCGAAGGGGAAACTTCCAGAAAGACACTGCGGTCGAAATTCTATCACAATGACCAAGCTTGTGATGGGGAGTGATAAAACCAGGAGTGGCATGATAGTGTACCGTCAATAATCCGAACTTTCTGGCACCAGGGTATTTTATTCTGCGCCTGGATTGTTCAAGGTTGCTCTTCGCCGAAGCTCAGACATCTTTTTCTATTTTGTTTAAAATAGCTGCTACTTTTTTACCAGTCTGCTCGGACATTGACGGGACAAATCATACTCTCCTTTCGTATCAGAACCCAGGTGCGTTTACAGACTCACAAAAACATATTCTCTTATTATGAGAAAGTTCCTCGATACCACATATAGTACGCGGTCAGGAAAAGAATGAATAGGGACTCCGCCACTGGTGGTTAAATATACATTTAGGGCCGATATACTCTTTGACATTCTTTCTACCTACAGCACTAAAGGGCTTGTTATCGATACCTCTACAGAGCAAACCGATTATATGGAAAAATACGAATGACAAGTTGCAAACCAAATTTCAATAATAGTACATTATCAAGCTAATAACAATAAAAATGGGAGAAATATATATTGTTTCGTGATATTAAGAAGAAACATAATTTTCGATTAAATTGACCACAAATATGAATATGGAACAGTGTACTAACATTAAGAATGATACCTACTTATTTACCTATTGGCAAAGAGCAATACTATGTCAAATATATATATAATGTCTATCGAGAAATATTACAGAGTTGTAATTAGTAAGTCAATAAAACCATAATCAAAATGGACGATAATAATACAAGTATAAGAAAAACGACGAGAGAAATATACCCCTTTTTGTTATTGGCAAATTGATAAGTTTAACTCAACCCTTTGTGCATAATTAGGACATAAACATAGCTGAGGAGCACTTCCACTGGCAAATTCGGTACTTGGAGAGATATACATATAGAGGACATTTCGCTTTTCCTATAAATCACCCACATTTTTATGATATTTACCGTTTCCCTTTCAATATTCAGGTTACTCCCCTCGTGATGATAGTCATTATTCGTTAGGCAATGTTCTATAGTGGATGCCGGAGGCTTCCCTTCATTATTAGATCCCCATCATATATAAGAAACAAACAATACCGAATTCATCATTGGAAATTCCCCTCAATAGGAAGACAACAGTTAGATGATTTAATTTACAACAAGATGCTTACCTGTAATCACATTCACATGTACTTCTCCCCCAGACCCCACAACCTCTTCGCTTTCTTTATTACTGGCCTTGTTTTTAGGACGTGACATCATTCATAGATTTGAGGTAACTTACAAGGAATTGAAATGAATTTGACTGACTTGGATATCTGAGCTTGTACAAAATATTATAGAATTAATAATTTGAGCAATAACGTAAAACAGTTTATAGGCAGGTCCACTCACAGCTTACGCTGGTTGCCCACTACCTATCGCGAATTTTGTTAGTCGAGGAATCGAGTATAAAACTTTCCTCAGGTAGGTCCACCCTCAGCTCACGCTGGTTGCCCACTAACAAATCGACAATTTAATTGTCCAGAAATCATATATGAAACGATTTCTTCGGTAGGTCCATCCGCAGCTCACGCTGGTTGCCCACTACCGATCAAATATTCGTTGGTCAAGAAAGCGTATATGAAACGATTTCTTAAGGTAGGTCCACTCACAGCTCACGCTGGATGCCCACTACCTTCGAGAATTTTTGTTAGTCAAGAAAACGTATATGAAACGATTTCTTAGGTAGGTCCACTCACAGCTCACGCTGGATGCCCACTACCTTCGCGAATTTTTGTTTGTCAAGAAAACGTGTATGAAACGATTTCTTAGGTAGGTCCACTCACAGCTCACGCTGGATGCCCACTACCTTCGCGAATTTTTGTTTGTCAAGAAAACGTGTATGAAACGATTTCTTAGGTAGGTCCACTCACAGCTCACGCTGGTTGCCCACTACCTTTGAGAATTTACGTTGGACGTGTACTGTACCAAAGCTCAGTAAAGAATAACCCCTTTTTCAGACACACGTCGCGGTTTTATAGTCCTTCGGTAAAGGATGAAGAATAGTAAATCACGTATGTGGGAGACTCTCCATACAATCCCCGCAACACGGTCTCACGATTCCCGAAGTTCCTTATCTTTATGGTTTTCGACGAATTTCGCTCTCAAGAGACTATATCTTTTTGTTGTGTCATGTGTTACTTATCGCGAACTTAATTATATACAAATCACAAACAAATTTTCGTTTCCCGTGAGAGACTTTGTGAAGTAATACGTTCGATTTTTAAAAAATATCATTCGTTTTGTGGATGAATTAGAACAAATTTAAGAAAAAGAATCGGCCAGGGGTCGTTCGATTTCATTATACATTTTCATCTGTCATTTAAATTAAGAATTAAGAATTACAAAGTTGGTTAAAGGCGGATTTATCGGATGCATAAACATAATTATTTTCATAAACTTAACTGTTATGTATAATTCATAAAAGTTAAACACTGTAGTTTGAAAGCAGATGATTTATCCAACTCGTAACTGTAAGTCGTAGTGCACATTCCATAATGGGTAACCTTGAAGGTTCCCAACTTTTAACTTTTACGAATAAAGATATGACAAAATGTATTGTGCGCATGCGTTTATTTTTATGGCGCTGTAACGGCGCTGTCAACTGTCAGTCCCGTTAACCTCAAAATATTGAGGAGCTTTTTTATTTTGGTAGTTCCTTGTATTTTTTATTTATTTCAATTTTCAATTCCTTAGAAATGAGTTTGGAAGAAGGGTTTTTTATTGAAGAAGTGGAAAAGTTCCCGTGTATATGGGACTTGAAAAATAAAGACCACAAAAATAAAGTGGTCCTCGAAAATGCCTGGAAGACATTGGCCTTTTTGGCAGAATGTACAGGTAGGGCAATCTTGATTTTTACAGACAATGAATTTCTCAAGTGATATATTTGTATTTCTCAATATCCATAGACATTTTTTTCCAGTTGAAGAATGCCAAGATTTATAGAAGAGCATCAGGAACAAATATATAAGAGAAAGAAAAACCCTAAAAACAATGCCATCTGGTTCTGCACAGTATTGTGGGACATGGATTCATTTTGACAAAATGGGGTTTCTGGCCCCCAATGTTCAGAAGAGAAGGTAAATTGTTGTTTTGTACAGTTTAAGGGTGAAATGAAACATATATTTTTGCAGAACAACCTCAAATATTTTAAAAAAAAAGTTAGATCCACCTTCTAATGTGTGGCAAAATTTTGATTTAGAAGAAGATGGGATGCTTGTGGATAGCCAAGAAGAAGATATCCAAGAAGAGGAATCCTCTGAGATATTTACTCCTCCAAGTGTAGCCCAATCATCAACATATAATCAAGCTCAACCTTCAACTTCTCATTCCAGTACATCTGAGGCAGCTTCTCTTCGCCAAGAGCATAATAAATATAAAAAAAAGAAAAATGATGATTCAGTGAACAATCTTATTGCCCAATGTAGTAGTATGGGCCAGAGTATAAATACATTAATAAAACACAGTTCAAGTAGTGAGCTTGGGAATGTTAACAAAGAAGATCATCATTTCGCTTTGTCTATAGCTGAATCACTTTCAAGGATTAAAAATAATAAAACAAAAATCATTTTAAAATCAGAAATTCTACTAAAAATTGCAGATGCCATTGAGGATTAGGCAATTCTTTCTCAATATATTTGTGTCCTGTGCCTTTCCATATATCTTGGAATTCTTCAAATGTTCAATGTTACATTTTTTCTGGATATTATGTTTAGTTTAGAAAATAAGACTGTTGATTTTTTTTATTTTATTATCTCATTGAGATAAATATTTGCTCATAGAGTTTATCAATGAATACATGGATGATATATTGTTTTTTTCTGTGATGAGTTTGTGTCAAATCTACTAAATGTAGGAGGTTTAAAAATGTTATTGAAAACATTTATTTCTGTTTTTCACTTTGAATAAACAAATTTTGAGTAATTTTTCATTTTATTAAAATAATGCACATTCAAATTATTGTAACTATATTAATGAAGAAAAAGACAATTGTAAATTTCAATGGGAATAAAAATAATCATAATACATTCCATAGTGGGGAAAGACTATGGAAACCACTTGAAATCTCAGAGGATTCATTCCTAGGGGTTTCCCTACCTTTCCTCTACCCTGTATGAAAAATATTATACTGGCTTGCCCCTCCTATTAACATAGTCCTCCTGCCAGGGTACCCAACCTTCTTTAGAGCTAAAAAAGTCGGACAAATTATCTCTAGATGTTTTTGCTCGTCTTGTATGATTATTTGATGCCAGCTTGTTAACAGAGGGTAGATTATTGCCTTCCTTTCTCCATACTCCTTCAGTAACATTACCAGACGAATCGTAATTATCTGTAAATCCAGTAGGGCAATATTTTCGTTCTGCAGGAGGGAGATCTTTCTCTGAATTTTGGAGATAATTATGGAGAACAATTGTTGCCTGAACAATCAAATTAGCTACATCTAAGCTGGCATTGATTGGCCTTCTCAAAATTCTCCAGCGCTGGCTCAATATTCCAAATGCATTTTCAATGCATCTTCGCCCTCTACTCAGTCTGTAATTGAAGATATTTTTTTTTTGGTCCAGAAAGGTTCCTGGATATGGTCTCATTATATTGTCGTGCAATGGGAATGATGCATCTCCCACTAAAAAGTGAGGCAGGATGGTTTCTG